GAAATTACTTGAAATATTTAGAGTTCTAGTAGTAACTCTCTGTCATTTGGCTTGCTGTTTAAGTATATACAGGGGTTTCTCCTGTTAAAATGGATACATTTGGTTTTATCAGTTTAACCTCTGTTAAGAAGAATTGATGGCCATATTTTACAAAGACAATTGTGATTCTTTTGAAATCTCTGTAACTTTAAGTAAAAGAAGAAGACACTTCAGAACAATAAAGTTCTGTTCAAAGTTGCAGAGAGATTAAAGATGTCACCCTCAAATTGTATAATTAGATAAAGAGAATAAAAGCACCTTAATGTTCATTAGTGTCAGTGTATTCAGTGTCACATCACACCTTAGGTGAAAGCCAGTGTTCTTGGTTGCCTTATTATTTTTAATAGTTGTGTGATTCAACAGGTAAATGTATCCATACTGTTCAGACTCTGTTACCAAGAGTACCATATGATCAAGTACAGTAGTCCATTAAAGGTATTGTGTGCTCTGGTCCTTTTCTTTTTCTTTTTTGGTAAACCAAGGTGAAAAATGGAAAATTGCTCACTTTATCCCAGTGTGAGGGAGAAATGGAGCAGACTTTTGAGTCTTAAGTTTCTGGGGTGGATAGGAGAGTGGTTTTCTGCACAGAGGGCAGTGAAATAATGCTAGTGTCTTGCAACCGGGCATCTTAAAACATACAATCAAGTGCAAAGAAAAGTGATCAGTTACAGTCCTTGGGAAAAGGCAGTGGATACCACTGGCAGAATTTTGTTGTTTGGTTATGCCTGGGTCCAGTAATGCTCCACCAGACAGTGGTATCTAGAAAGTGATGTACAATAAATTCTTGTTTTTAAGAAGCCAACTGGAATTTACTGAAATGAAAGTAACTGTCCTGTTTCAGGAAGGTTAATAAACTTCCACTTAGGAACACTTGGCTATGGAAAGATACAAGATACCATCGGTATGGTCTTAAACTAGTGCGTGTGCTGCAGTTACCTTGATAGAGATCCATAGTTGATACTGCAGGTGTTGGATTATTTGGAAGAATGTTATTAAAACTTAATTCTATTTCTTTACTTCTCCATGCTTACATCTGTCTTTGCAAATCATAAAGCTGGTCATTGTTCAATACCATTGCTGGTATCTAGTTGTCTTTCAAATATTAGACTCTCAGTGAAGCAGTTATTTTTATGGAGAAACAGTAGAACATTTGTAATGTCTATGTGCATAGCTGTAGCAGGTATTTCTCCTCAATTTGTACTCGGTGGTATTGACAGTAAAATTAGAAGCAGAGTTACTCAACCTTCTTCTGAACTGAAGATGTATGTGTTTCATGCCATTAGCACACAACTTAAGGGAATTTCCTCCACTTTTTCAGTTGTTCCTCTCAGATGAGGGTAGTGTCTGGACAGCCCTGTTTGATTCTACTCATGCTTGTGTTTCCTGAACTCCTGTCATTCATACCATTTATATGGTGAGGAGTGCACGTTTTCCACCATTCTGGTAATGACAGCCTCTGCTTCCATTGGAGGCAGGAAAGCCAAGTTGTTTTCCAGTGTATATATAGAAGGTATAACCATTGGAGATTATCTTCATCATCTTTTGCTATTTGCCTTGTTTCCTCCTCCTTTTCTCCTTTACTGTAATGAATTTCTGTCTGTTCTTCCTTGTGTGCAATTCCTTGCATATGTGATGAAAGTAAGTTGAGGCTGTGAGTTGATGAGAGGAAGAAAAACAACAGATGGGATGGATAAGAAGAGAAATGGGAAGAGCAGTGGAAGGGGGGTGGTGGTGGCCAGGAAGCAGTGAGTAGAGGTTGCACTTGCTGACTTGCAGCCATGTATGTGTTTGCATTGTGTTGCAGATGAAGCCTTGTACTTGTCTCATGCAGTGGTACTAACACCATTCTTTTTATCTTTCTTCTGTTGTCATGAGGTCATCCATTTCTTCCTGTTTGATGTCGTCTTTTATTCATGTTTCTCAACATGTCACAGGAAGTGACAGGAGTATGGCTTTTGCTTCTTGTGTCAGGGTCACAAGGCTACCTTGTGTCAGGTGAAGCATCTCCCAAATGACCCTTCTTGACTCAGTCTAGAGTTGCAGGTGGTTGGTGTCAGGTTGGTGGGTCTGTGAGGGAAGGGCCGGAGGACCAACTGATGGCTGCTGATTTTGTTCCAAGAGACCTCGAGTCATTTGGGTTTTAGCATCTGTCTTAGGTGTTGCTTGAGTGTGTGACTTTTGGAGTCAGTTTGGTCTGCTTGCCCTCCAACCCGACCTGTGCTTCTCTGGTCTTTGCCTCTCCTGTAGGCCAAGTTGAGGAGTTGAAGATGACCCCTGTTAGGAGCAGCTGGGCTGAGCTGGGCAAGTAGCCTTCTGCTGCCAGGTCCCTGGGTACAGCAAGACAGGTGAAGTCCACTTGGTGGGGTGGGTGATAGTTCCCAGCCCTAGAGATAGTAGAGCCCTGTGTTTCTGCCATGGGGACAGCCTTGTTTGAGGGGCCTGGTTTTTAACCCCAAGCAGTGCCAATGGCTGGGCCAGCTTGATTAGTACATTTGAGAAAGCCAAATGTTTCACATAAAGTTTGTGTCCAACTGTGCTCAGATACAGAAGTTGATTGACATGGTGAGATCTCATCCCTGAGTTTCATTAGAAAGCTTCAATTTTGAGTGACGTAGCAAAGATGCTTTTTTTAAGTCTATCTTTGTGTTTTTCCCCCTGCAATCAAACAGAGCTGCTCAGGCCACAGTTATTCTGAATCCTTTGGCATTTATGTGTGAAGTCCTCAGTTGTCTGATTTGGTATCTTGATTTCTCCCTGTAACACCAGGATGTGAAAATGTGCCTTCAGCTTTTGATTCTGAATTGTTTAGTTAGGATTTTTTTTTTTAAGGCTGGGTAAGCAGGGTAAGTTGCAGAAGTCATATGGGGACAGTGCTAGTGATGGCCAACATAGTCTGTGCTTTAGTGTGCTCTGAGGCATCAGCTAATTTTTGCAGCTATGATTGATTATAATGAACTTGAAAACTTTGCTAGAAATTTCTGGGTTTAGGAGATTTCAAACCTTTTTAACCCTTAAAGGGATCAGGCTATCTTAGAGGAAAACATACCTTGTTTACTTAAGGAACTCATCCCTGCTGCCAGTCCTTCTCTGAGCCTTGAACCTGTTGATCAATTTGAGGCAGCAATGAGGATGGGAAAGAGGCCTGAAAGTGTGTTTGCTTACTCCTTACGTTTTCCTTCTCCCTTTCCCTGTGGCTCAGCTTGCACATAAGATCTTAGTAGTCTTCTGAAGGAGAGGCAGGAAGGGTTACTTACCTATTTTGGGTTTGGTAGCAGCTGCCGCATTGGTCACTGTATGTGTATTCATTGCAGTTGAGACATGACAGGGGTGGTGCCAAGGGAGACACAGAAAAGGGAGCTTTTCTAATTCTGCCTGATCATTGCATAGTTTGTTTATCTGCCATATGTAGAGATTCTTTTCATTGCTCTCTAATGAATTACTGCTGTGCGATTATGGTTATGGCTCATGTGCGGAGGAGGGGAGCTGTCCTCAAGGGAATTCACTTGAACGTATCAGATATCTAAAGTGGCAGGTTCTTCAGTGAATTTTGTGTTCTTTTTCCTGTTTCTTGGGTTTGAGCCAGCTTTATTTTGTAGATGCATGCTGAAGGCTATTAAAATAGATTGGTAGATGTTACAACCTGAAAAAGGAAAGTGTTTGACTAATTGCAGATCATCTCCAGGCATGTAGATTACTTCTCTGTGCAGGCTGGAGAAGCTTGGTAAAGGGCAGAAACACGATGTTTCTACTAGGGGCGAGTGCTTTGAGAATAAATGTGGGAGCGATTGGAAACAAACTTGCCATAGGTGCTTGAATGTACTTTTTTGGATGCAGGAAAATGCCCAGACTTGAACAAAAAAAGAAGTCAAGGAGACTGAACATTGTCTAGTCAAATGCTAACGTGAGTTGAAACAGTGCAGCTCTTTGAAATATTTTATATATGTGCCTTTATTATTATGAGTTATGGCTCCTCGAGGATCCTGCCTGAGTAATGGTGAGAACTGGGTAACCTTAACAAAGATCTCCAGTTTTCCTGGTCCTCTATGGCTAGTTGGTTTGGTCCTAGAAGGCCAGATTTCACATGAAAAATGTGCAAGAATGGGGAAGAAAAACATCCGAGAACAAACAAGTTTATTGACAGGACTGCTCATAGCTATTCTTTAGATTCTGGGGCATTCCGAGACAACAAATGGTATATTCTGGTATGCCAAAACTGTTGAATATGCATATAGCATGTATGAAATACAAATATACTTCCCCT